TTTTAGATACGCATAATGATCACATTCAGCATAGGGAATTTGTACCTGTACATGATGTAACTTGCTGCTTCTTTTTTCCCATTTCCTCCCTCCTTGTGTTTTCTATTTGCTTAATTTTTGTTGTTGTTGTTGTTTTTCTTTTTTTTTTTTTTAATACTGAGGATCGAACTCAGGACCTTGGGCTTTCGAGGCAGGTGTGGCACCACTGAACTAAATCCCTGGCCCTATTTGCTTAATTTTCTATATATGTACAGGCAATCTTCTATCTTCCCAGCAGATCTCTTTGATTTTATTTTTTGATAGTGTTGGGGTGGAGCCCAGGCCGTGCCGAATGCCGAAGCACCCCACCACTGAGCTGCACCCCAGCCCCCAGCTGCCTTCCGTGTGGTCAGAGCAGTGGCCCTCAAGCACAGCAGGCCTTGGTGCTGGGGGACCCACCCCAGGGCTCTGATCCACCAGGCCTCTGTGGGGTGTGCGTAGAGAGTGCTGCTGAGCAGGACTTCGTTAGGCAAGTGCGTCTCCATTCAGGCAGCGCTCCAGGAAGCTGGATGGTGTCCAGTTTGGAGTTACGTCAAGTGAAATTGCCCCGACCACCCCTCCAGCTTGGGGCTGCTGTGACCTTGGTGAGCTCCCTGCACCAGCCTCCAGCTGGGTTCAAGTGCCTTTGGGACGTGCTGTGCAGGGTGCTGGGCCCAGAGTGAGCCCGAAGGAGGCGGTGACGTCAAGAGCTTAGGGACCTGCTGGCCTTGTGCCTGGAGACCCTGGCACCAGGGTCTTGCTTTCCCTGCCCGGTGCCCCTGCCCCCTTGGTGAAAGGTGTGTGGTGACCCGTGGCACTCGACAGCCACGGTGTTTCCTGGTAGCCGATGACCTTTCAGGGTTGGCTGATTGCCACATGACTGGGTCTCCTCCAGAGAGCAGAGCACAGGCAGGCTGCTGAGGCCCAGGAAGGGCCATTTGGCAGGGAGAGCCCACGACATTGGATGGGTCCCCCAGCCCCTACAGGATTCCCTCCTATACTGGCAGGAGGAGCCCCACCCACGGTGGAGAGGGCAGGGTGCCGTGTTCTACCAACACAAAGCTGATCTCGTCTGACAGCCCCTTGAGGAAGCCCGGAGGAAGTGTGTGACCATACGCCTGGGCACCTGGAGCCTGGACAGGCTGGCATTTACAACAGCACCCGCCCCCTCTGTGTGCTCAGACAAGTCTGGAACCCGAACACGGAGCACCCCCGGCCACGCCTGTGGCAATTTCCCCCACCTGACGAAGGGCAGGTTTGGTGCCTGTTCAGCCCCACTGGGGCAGAGCTCCTTGGGTGTGTTCTGTGGGCGATGGCACCCAGTCCGGCTCTGGAGGGCAGAGCTGCCCCGCCAAGTTTGCAGGGGCGGCCTGGAGGACACGACCCAAAGCCGGACAGCGTGCGGCAGGAAAGGCAGTGGGCACCTTGCACACCTCTGAGGCTGGCACAGACGCTGGGCCTTTCCCGGGCTTCGGATCCAGGCCACAGTGACTTGGGCTGTGTTTGTGTGTTAAACATTAACAGAACGTTCCTGGAGGTCTGTCCAGTGCACAGTTAGTGAGTAACTGCAAAGACACATTAAAGAGCAGCACTCTGGCTCATGGCTTGTAGAATGGTAATGTCTACGTCTCTGAGCCTAGGGGAGGGCAGCGAGCCCACCCTCTCCCCGTGGACTCTGGCAAAGGGCAGCGCTGTTGATTTAAATGCACACCCTTGGGCCGGGGATTTAGCTCAGTGGTTTCGATGCCTGCTATGCAAGCACAAGGACCTGAGTTCAATCCCCGGTACCAAAAATAAATAAATAAATAAATAAATGGATACTCTTGAGGGAGACCATTTTACCATCTCCTTTCCCTCCGTGCAGCAAAGTGTGTGAATTAAACTTTTCTTAGCCAAGTATTTGAGATTCCTGTTTGAGACATGGTCCACTGTGTGTGCCTGGCTTTGGGTCGTGCCGTGCCATTACATCTGCGGTGGAGACCTGGGTGTAGACAGGGGTCAGCTCGTGCAGTGGGCTTCCTGTGCGGTGCCTGCCTTCCTCGTGAAGCAGCCCAGGGTCAGCACCGCAACTGCAGACAGGACCCATGGGGGTTTCAGTTCTGGTCTGTCTGCTCTCGGTGCAGTTTGTCCTCGGGACACCCTATTGCTAGGGTGAAGTTGCTGAAAACCTGCTGCTTTTAACTACTGTTTGTGTGTCTCCATGTGCAGAATCTGCCTGGCGAAGCCTGGTAGTGGAGCTGCTGACATCAGCTCTTGCTGGGCCATGGTGTCCTGGAGCAGAGCTCCTGGCCCTGGTGAGAAGCACTCGATCCGGGAAGGGACAGCACAGTGGCCCGGCAGCGAGGCAGCGCCACAGCCCAGATGGGGCCCTGGGGTCCTGGAGGAGCTGTGCTGGGGGAGGGGCGCATCCTGCTTGAAGATGTGGAGCAGTGGGAGAGGGACACTGAGCGGGCAGCGCCCCGCAGGGGACCTCCAGGGGAGCCTCGGGGCTCAGTGCTGCCAGGGCTGGACCTGAGACAAAGCGCGTGCCTGAGGCAGGAAGACTGCCCGAGCCTGGGAGTCTGAGGCCCCTGCATGAGGCAGCGAACTACTGTCTCAGAGAGAGAGAGAGAGATGAGCCACAGGCCAGGCACAGATGTCAGGCCGAGTGGCAAGGCCAGTGTCTGTTGGAGAGCAGATAGGTGACCAGATGGCTGACCGGACAGGAGGGCACCACCAGGGCACGGTGCATTCAAGCCCTGTAGTGTTCTTTGTGGCACAGTACAAAGAAAACCACTAGAACAGCCACAGAGGCCACTTTCATAAAACAGAAGTGGGCACTGGGTTTTTAAAAGAACGTGACACACAGCCCGCCTCCACACCCAGAGCCCTCCTCCCTCCTTGGTGGAATCCGCAGCCCGGCCCTCCCTGTGGGCGCCACACAGAACCAGCGCGGTGTGTGGAGAGCCCCGCCATGCCCATCCAAGGCTGGCCATGCCTCTGCAGGCAGCACAGGGTCTCCCGGGCCTGAGGAGGGGTGGCTCAGTGGCAAGCATTTGCCTCGTGTGCTTGGGGCTGGTGTTGGGTTCCATCCCAGCACTTTAGGGACACAGGGCTCTCCAGGCTTCGGACAATGTGAGTTCGGTGCGTGGCCCCAGGCGTCCTTATCTACTCAGCAGCTAGACACCGAGGCCCTGGGCATGATGGCCCAGCACAGGCTGCAGTCCACCTGTGGGGAGACAGGGTTCCCACACCAAGGGTGGAGTCCCCGCCAGGGATTCTGAGGTGGCTGCACACTCCCTGTGAATGCCCCTGTTGGGGACGCCTCGCTCGTGTAGGAGGTGACATTCCAGCAGAGTCAGTGGTGCCACTGGCTGGAGGGAGATGTCCCAGAGGGAGGAGGGATGGGCAGCCTGGCAGGGGCTGCTGGGAGCCTCAGTCCAGCTTCCCGCAGACGCTCAGGGGGGCCCCGTCCTCCATGGGGCTGAGAGCTTCCTGCCAGCCAGGGCAGCCCAGCAGCCCCACACACCAAAGGCCACGTGCGGCAGAGGCCTGAGGACAGGAGCGTGGGGTCCCTTGGCCCTGCGAGCCTGCTCCCACCGTCCTGCCCTGCTCAGGTCCCCTGGTCACACTCCAGGAAGCCAGGGCAGCTCTGAGCCCTGCTAACACACAGGGTTCAGCTCCCAGAAGGTGGACGGGGAGGCTGGGAGTCTACAGTCGCACTATCTCTGCTCAGGCAGCGCCCTCAGGTCTGACCTGGCCCTTGCGCAGTGGGCCTGGGGAGGGCTTTGCAGGGAGCGGCAGCGGGCTGTGGAGGGAGCCTGGCCTGAGAGCCTGAGGGGGCAGCCAGCGGGGCGGCGCTCCACACTTGGCCCAACCGCTTCTCTTTTTCCAAATGTTCTGATCCTGGGAATTAAACCCAAGACCTTCACACTAAGCTACATCCCCTGTTCTTTTTTATCTTTTATTTTGAGACAGGGTCTTCCTAAGTTTCCCAAGCTAAGCTCAAACTTGGGACCCTCCTGCCTCAGCCTCCCAGAGTGCTGGGATCACAGCTGTGCCACCGAGCCTGGCTCAACCACACTTTTCAGGAAATCCTGCAAGCTCAGTGCTGCACCCTCAGGTTAGGGTGTCTTTGTCTACACACACAAGTACATATGCATCACACATGTGGTGCACTCACCAAAAGCATGTGCATTGCACAGGTGATGCTAACACACCCCACAGTACACATACACATGGACACGCTGAGTCACCATCACTGCAAGGTCCAAGCTCAGCACCAAGCGGCCCCTCTGGATGCTCTCGGAATTTAGGGCTCCTGGTGAGTACGGGTGAGTGAGAGGCTGAGGCGATGAGATATCTCGGACAGGCCCCAGGGAGGCCTGCGCGGCGAGGGATGGACACAGGCAGGGTGTTGCCGGGGGAGGTCGGTGGCAGGCCAGGCGGAAGCTGGCGAGAACAGGAGCGGCTGCCACTGCATGTAGCTGCTTTCTCCTTTGCTTCCGGTGTTGTCCACCACACTCCAAATCTGCTGGGACGGCATCAGTTATTTTATTGCCAAGATTTAGAAGCGCAGTGCCACGGGTCTAGGCTCAGTGTGGGGCAGGCCACAAGGGGTGCAGAGGCTGCCGTGAAGACAGCCAGGGGAGGGCTGGGCCTGGGGCTGCCAGTCCGCCAAGGTCACATCTGTGCACCTCTTCTCCAAAGCTGTTCCTGGAGTCAGCAGTATGGAGCACAGTCCTGACCAAGGAGGGGCTCAGAAAGTGCCTCCCCCGGCATGGGGGACGAGGGGCTGTGGGGGGCCTGGGAGGTGGGGAATACGGGGTTTGGGGTGGCAGGAAGGCCAAGGTCAAGGTCAAGCTCTTAGCCCACTGCCATTACCACGGCAGTGAGTTGATCAAGAAGGGAGGAGGCCAGGCCGGCAGTGGAGGCTGTCCTCACCCCACACCGGGCCTGCTCCTGCCTGGGCTCCTTCCAGGGCGACTGCCTGCACTGCCAGCCCCATCCCAGCCTCAGGAGGTGGAGGTTCTGGGCTGCTGCCAGCCTGGCCCGCACCCCTGCGTTTAGTCCCGGCGTGGGCTGGAACGGGACGTGTTGCAGCGCACACAGCTGCAGAGTGGGCACTGGGCCCCAGAGCCGCTAGCCCACCACCCGTCCCCAGAGGTGCAGTTTGTCTCTCCCAGTGCCCTGTGTGTTGGTAATGTGGCTTTGTGAGTGTACCCCACTTTGTGGGGTTTACAATGTGACTTCGATCTTCCACCCAGATCTCTTAAATTCCAGTCTGTGGGATCACAGGGGAGGGTGGAGCTGAGCTCTGCCCCTGCTTTCCTTCAAACAGATCCTATCATGAAGTGCCATGGCCTTTTTCCAAACTAGGCTTTTCTTTTCCTCCATAGAAAACCTGTTTCACAGCAGGGCAGGCCTTCGGGCAAGGCATCTGTCCTGGCACAGGCCAGACTCTGGGCGGTGACTTGTGCTCCCAGGGAGCTGGGCTGGGTGCTGGGCCTCAGTGGGTCCTCAAGGGAGCAGGGGTGGCCACAGACCCCGAGCTCCAAGTTGAGCAGAGCACCATCAGCCTGCAGGAGGGTGCTTGCAGGCTTAACAGCCTGCGCGTGTTTATTTTAGGTCATCAGAAAAGCCTTCACAGAGGAAAAACATGTCTCGACAAAGACATCTGCGGCAGATCTTGTGACAGAGACGGACTGCCTCGTGGAACATCTGATCATTTCTGAGCTGCGAAAGCAGTTTCCTTCACACAGGTGAGTCCACAGGCCCCAGTGGGGACGGATACGAACCCCACCCCTCGCGGGGAAGCAGACTAGCTCTTCAGCGCCCTTCCTGTTGCCCCCATGTCCGTGTGCCACCTCGGGCATGTGGAGGGGCTCTCTGCAGCCCCCGCTGATCCAGCGGCAGCTCCGGGAGGCTCTGGCAAAGCACAGCCCTGAGAAGCCAGCAGTGGTGTCACAGCCGGGCGCCAGCCCAGCCACCCAGGGTGACATTTGGAGAACAGCACACAGCATGGAGCGGTGGCCACGTGGGACCCGGGCCACCACGGGGCTGAGGACACGGGCCAGACCCAGGCCATGTCCCAAGGCTCTCCAGGGACGCAACTCTGTCCTCGAGAGCCGAAGCCCTGACCCTGCAAGGTGACTTTGTGGAGGATTCGATGGAGCCATTCATCGCTTCCTCAGAAAAATGAAAATATTTGCACAACGTTTTGCACCCATTTCCTGGGCAGCCACACGCCACGCCTCTGAGCAGCTCTGCGCACACACCACCCCTTTGAGTTTAGAACCAGCGTAAAGGGCCAGGGACGTAGCTCAGCGGCTTTGCCACCTGCTGTGCAAGTGCAAGGACTGGAGTTCGATCCCCAGTACCAATAAATAAATAAATAACAGTAAAAATAGCTTAAAAACCAATAAGCAATAATATCTTAGACACAGAGGTCTCTTCTTCTTTAGGTAGCATCTTTTATGAAAAAGTCTGGGTTTCTAACCCTGGATTCCAGGGGCAGTTTCTGGACGTGAACCCCATGCACCTGCCACATTACACTCTTCTGGTTTGTTCTGTCTTGAGAGAGGGTCTTGCTGTGCGACCCAGGCTTGCCTCAAACTTGCAGTCCTCCTGCTCAGCCTCGGTGCTGGGCTGCAGGTGTGCACCTGTGCCGGGCTGGGCCCCACATGTATATGGTCTTAGGGGCAGAAGCGCATGGCACGTGGTGGGCTCAGCTCGTGCTGTGCTCTGTCCACTTCCCTGTGGGCAAACACCAGCTGCGTCCTTTCTGCTGTGGCTTCCTGGGAGCTGGATAGATTCTCTGGGCAACCTGCCCTCCCTTAGAAGTTCCTTTCTGTTTTGTGGCCACCCTCTTGTGCCTGAGCTTTGGTCATCTCTCTGGTCCTTATTTGGCTGGAAGTCAGGGCCCCTGCCATGTTATATTTACAAGCTCTGAAATATTCATGCATTTTTAGCTTTTCAACCCTAATTTTAATGAAATGGCAATCATTTGGATTGCTTTTATTCTTTGAGAGAAGAAACACTGCCGCAGTGATGGCGAGCCCACTGCACATAGGGTGGTGGGCAGTTCGCATCATTGAAAGCTCTTCAGGGTTGCCATCACTGCCCTAGAGTAACCAACCAGCCACTTCCAGTTCCTTACTAACTGCCAGAAGGAGGTTTCTCTGTAGAATAGCCGTGTGGTGACGGCGACAGAAGCCGAGGCTGGCTCACGTAGGGTTGTGAGGAAAGCCAGTGATGTCCCTGGGCTTCACGTGTGTCCCTCAGGGAGCTGGGGTGAGCCCGTTCACCTGTACCAGCAGCCTTGCCCGCGACTTGAGTCCGCTGCTGTTTGACTGTGGAGGAAATGGCTCATGGACGGGTAAAGGAGGTGTCTGCTGCCACACACACGGAGTAAAAGCCACATCTTATGGGGGAGCTGCTGGGCCCAGCACCAAGAGGTGTGTGCCAGGCAGGTTCCCCAGAGCTGCTCCAGCAGGCCCAGTGGGCCCAAGCGGGGGCCAGCTACACAGGATCCAGGAATCAGTGACTCAGCCAAGCTGCCCTCTGCCCAGGCCCCGGCCACACCTGGGCTCCCTAGGCTCCTGCTGCCTCCATCCTGGGCTCCAAGGGCCAAGGCTGTGATGGGCCAAAGGCTGAAGGCCAGGCCTCGCTTTGCGTAAAACATTCTAATGAAGGCTCTCTGACCACAACTTAAGATTTTACAGCACTAGAATCATGGGTATTTATTGTTTAGCTCATACCCAAACTGACACATTTTGAGTAAGAGAAAAATGCATACATATCATAAATAGGGGCTGGGGATTTAGCTCAGTGGTTTCGCCACCTGCTGCACAAGCGCAAGGACCCAAGTTCAATCCCCGGTACCAAAAAAACAAACAAACATATCGTAAATAGTATGTTATAATTTTTCTGTTTTCAAAGTAAATGTCCCTTAAAAAGTCTTTTGAGGGCCAGGGCTTTAGCTCAGTGGTTCCACCACCTTCCCCACAACCTCAAGAACCCAAGTTTGATCCCTAGTACCAAAAAAAGAAAAAGTCTGTTGAGCCGGGCATGGTGGTGCACGCCTATAATCCCAGCACTTGGGAGGCTGAGGCAGGAGGATCACCATGAGTTTGAGGCCAGCCTGGGCTACATAGTGAGTTCAAGGCCAGCCTGAACTACAAAAAAAAAAAAAAAGAAAGAAAGAAACAATATGTTGGTAGTCAATTGCTTGACATCCTGTAATAGGAAGGAATTTAATTCTCACCTTTGGACTTTTTTTGGTTTTAGTCTTTCATAAAATAATACTGAAGAGAGACCATAGCAGTCTTGTTTTTTTCTGGTTTTTTTTTTTTTGGTACCAGGGATTGAACTCAGGTCCTTCTGCTTGCGAGGCAGGTGATGGAACCACTGAGCTAAATCCCTGGCCCACAGTCTTGTTTTTTAATAAAATACCAGACACCCCAACGCAGGCTTCCTGTAGGTCTCACAATTTGTTCTACCCTTCAGCAAAAGGCAGCATCTCAGGTCCCTGTCCTGTGAAGGTGTGGAGTGCATCAGAGAGCAATAAGGTCTAGACCTGCTTCTGCCCTCTGGGGCTGCGAGCTCATCTAAAGTGCAGGGCTTGGCCACGGGCAGCCCTGCATCACAGAATCTGCCTCCTCCCAGGCTGTGGTAATGACACGGAGTAAACCCAGTGTAGGCCGGGATTTTTACAGCGGGCTCTTTGGAGCATGCTGGGACCATTGTCCTGCCAACCCAGCGTGGAGCACATGCCAGCTTCACTGGCACCAACCCTGTTTCAGGCGATGCCTTTGAGTCAGACCCAGGGGTGCCTGACCTATGAGGGTATGAAGCCCACCCTCGTCCCCATCCCCTGAGCCACCTCTCAGCTTGGCAGGGACAGAGGACAGTGGCTTAAACTGCCCAGTGTGTCCCTCGGGAGGGACCTATGGCCTGGTGCCCTCTGTGTGTCCAGCATGGAGGGAGATCTGCCCAAGGCATGAGTCAGGCAGAAGGTGAAGCAGAGTCCTTGGCAGGAAGGAGCCTGCTCCACACCGCCGACTGGGCGTGGGCTTGCTGTCACCTCCTTGCAGCCTTTGCCCCATTCTTGGGACACCCTGGAAAGGAGGCTGGCCAGCGGGCGCAGAGCCTTCCTTCACGCACGGTTGAGGGCAGGCTCGGGCCTGCCCTTGTCACAGAATAAACCCAGAGTAGCCAGGGAAACAGAAGTCTTAGAAGTCCTGGCTGTCAAAATTATAGGGAAAGTTTGTTACAACTGCCTTTTAAAAAGAAAGAAAAGTAGTTAAGTCAAGATCCAGAATGTATCATTGTAACTCGCGAACTGTTTCTGGGGATTCCTCCAGCTCGGAGTTAGGCACACACATTGTATGTTTCTGTGTGTGTATGGATATGTGCAGATGTCACACTGGTTGTGTTTCACACTCACGTCTGCACACAGATGCCCCACTCCTGTGCAGAGAACTGGGGAGTCTGTCTCCCGCCATGTAGGCATTTGCTTCCAACATGAGGAAAATCAGGCTAAGTACGTGAGAGTTCTGCACCCCCTCATCCACCGTGGGGTTTCTTGGTGCCCAGAGGGGCCTGGCTGCAGACTGCTGCCTGCAGGTGTGCAGTGAATGGGGTGAGGGGTGCACCTCGGCCTCTGCCTTCAAGGCAGGCAGTGGTGGGCAGCACAGACAAAGGTTGGTGATAGGAGGAGAGTGGTCAGCAGCGATAGGAGGAGAGTGGTCAGCTGCTGGAGGACAGCCAGGGCTCAGGTGGTACTGTGAGCACCCCCAGTGTCACACCGTGCAGAAGAGTCCTCAGCAGGCACGTCACCAAGAGCCCTGGTCAGCACCCACATGCTTTGGCCTGCGAGCCACAGACCTGGCCTCATGTCCTGAGCAGCCCCAGCCTGTGGACATGCTAGTGGGTAGCTGTGTCTTTGGGGCGTGCTAGTGGAGGCGGGTGTCCACATCCAGATGCCACCCCTCCCCTTCCAGGACTGGTGATTGCCCCAGCTCCTGCTTAATGGAGGTTTGAAAAGAAAAAAGGCCAATTCCTTCCCACTCCCCAGGAGCCATCTCTGTTCCCTTCCTCAAGAGAGCACCTCTCTTCACGGCTCTGACCAGCCCAGTGTCAATGCTGGTACGTGTGCGCACGTGGGACAGCGGAGGTGTGCATGCGTGTGTGTGTTTGTGTGTGTGTACAGTGTGTTTTGGGGATGTGGATTGTTTTCTTAAAAACATAATTGCAAGTGCCAGGGATTTAGCTCAGTGGTTCTGCCACCTGCCTCAAAAGCTCAAGGTCCTGAGTTGGATTCCCAGTACCAAAAAAAAAAATACAATGTAAAGCATAAAAAAACACACACAGGGCCGGGGATTTAGCTCAGTGGTTTTGCTTCCTGCTGCACAAGGGCAAGGACCCGAGTTCGATCTCCGGTACCAAAAACACACACACACACACAAATATTGTAAATAAGGGCTGGGGATTTAGCTCAGTGGTTCTGCTGCCTGCCTCAAAAGCGCAAGGACCTGAGTTCAATCCTCAGTACCAAAAAAACAAAACAAACATACAAAAAAAGATTTCTTGGGCTGGGGATTTAGCTCAGTGGTTCTGGCGCCTTCCTTGCAAGTGCAAGGTCCCAAGTTCAATCCCTGGTACCAAAACAAAACAAAACAAAACAAATATTGTAAATAAAAACACAATTGCAACCCACTTCGGGAAAGGAAAATCAGGTAGCTGCGAAAGAAGACAGTGCAAACAGACGGAGTTCCTGAGCCTCTAGCTAACAGTGGCAGGGGCCAGGCACACCGTCCCCAAGCGGCCAGCTCAGCCCTGTCCAGTGCACCCAGCTGACCCTTGGAGACTTGTCTGGGGAGGACCAGTCTGGGCCCAGTCTGGTGGGGCTGAGGAGAGGGAGGGACGCTCAGGGAGGAGGCGCTGGGTGCAGAGCAGCAAGGCACTCGGGCATGGGCCTCCCCGGGCCGGGAGCTCCAGGCTCACTGCAGCCCAGCACTGCCGCCAGCCATGGCTCTGGGGCTGTGGGTTCCTCATGGGGCCAGCTGCTGGTGTGAGGGCCCCCTGGGGCCGAGGGTGGCGCAGCAGGCGGAGGTGCTGTGCACAGGACACACCCATCTTGTCCCGATGCACCGTCAGGTTCTCTGCCTACCCACGGCACGATGGGTCACAGTGTGCAGAGCACAAGGCCTTCCTGGTATGCCCACCCCTCTGAGGACACTTAGGGCACTCCTTTGCAGACTTCGTCCCGAGGAGGGGCCCGGAGCCCGCTGCCGAGTGCAGCACCTGGGGCTGGAGCAGGGCCCTGTCCCTGGGGCAGGAGGCCTCCTGGAGGGGGACTTCCATGGGGACTCCGCGGGCGTGGGCAAAATGTCCTAAAACCCCACCTGCTTCTCCACAGGGAAGCTGGGCCCAGGGAGGGCGGGAGGAGAGGACCCACGAGCAGGGGCAGGGCCCTTGTCACCCGTGTCTGTGCAGGCTGCAGGCCACACTTGGCCCTCGCGTTCTGGTCACAGCGCTGCAGCAGGAGGGCACAGCCCTGCCAGCCACACCCCTCGCACCTCCCGCCAAGGGGGGACCTTCGGCCATCCCTGGACCGTTGGTCGCATCTCCCACCGGGCCTGCTTCTGACCCTCTCTGGTCAGCCTCTCTGCTGTCTGTCTGTCTGCTTGCTGGATGCTTGGCTGGAGAACCGGTCCTCGCAGTGCTGGGCCACACCCACCCTGTCTCTGCTCTCGAGTCTCACCAAGTCCACGGCTGGAGAGAGACCAAGACTCCACCTTGGTTCACACCCAGAGCCGTCCTGCGCCTCTGTACTGCACCTCCTCTTTCCTTAATGCAATGGGAAGCAGTTTGAGGTTCACCGCCTCATGTTCCTGGCCGTCTGCTCAGGCTGAGTCCCCACTGCAGGTTCATCTCCGAGGAGGCCACGGCCGCCGGGGCCAAGTGTGAGCTCACCTCCAGCCCGACCTGGGTCATCGACCCCATCGATGGAACCTGCAACTTCGTGCACGGGTGAGCGAGGGGCCTCTGCAGTTCCTGCACTCTGCTCCGCTCTGTCATTTCAGCAGCGGCAGGCTTGAAGGCAGGTGCATAGCAAGCCTAGAGAGGAGGTATGTAGGCTCATCCAGGGATGATCACATCCAGCCTTTTGAGTCTTCCCACCTAGTAAGGCAGTCCTGTGTCAAATAGTTGCTTGGGTTTGAGAAGGGCCCTGGTAAGCAGTGGCCCTTGTGGAGCCTGTGCCCACCAGCAGCCTGCTACTCTGAGGAGGGCAGGGCTTAGGGAGCCAAGCTGCAGTGTCCTCCCATGATCTTTATATAAAAGAGGTTATTTTGAGCAGAAACAACCAATCACAAAATAAAGCCACAGGCAAACTGGCAAAAGCCACCTTCACTGTGGCTGGCCTATGGTGGGCTGCGGGGGTTCAGGCAGGAACACGGACAGGGACAGGGTGTCCCTGAGGGAAGGCGCTGTGCTCAGAACTGGGCTCCTGTGGACACTCCCCAGGCGTCCACACCCTCGGCCTCCCAGAGTTGGGGTCACTGATGAAGCTTGTCCCTCTCTGAGACTCTCGGGATTTAGCTCAGCAGTGCCACTGCCTGCCTCGAAAGCACAGGGTCCTGAGTTTGAGCCCCCATACCAAAAAAAAAAAAAAATGCTTGTCTACAGGCATGCCACCCTGAACAGGCCCGATCTTATCTGATCTCAGAAGCTAAGCAGGGTCGGGCCTGGTTATACTTGGATGGGAAACCAAATGGCTGGCGGAGGAAGCAGTGAGTGAAGTAATGGGAAGTTGTTTTTAAAAGCAAACCCAGCAAGACTGGGGATTTAGCTCAGTAGTTCCGCCGCCTACCTGGCAAGCACAAGGACCCGAGTTCTATCTCCGGCACCAAAAGAAAAAAAAAGAAAAAAAACCCCAGCAGAGTGTGGGAGGAGCTGTGTGCGGCGCCCCACCTCATGCCCGCCTGTCCCCGCAGGTTCCCCAACGTGGCGGTCAGCATTGGATTTGCTGTTCATCAAGAGGTACACAGTGGTCCTCCTGCTTGCTCTCTGCCGCGTGCCTCAGCCGTACGGAAGAAAGCCAAGTGTGTGTCCTGCAGTCCTCACCGTGGGGGGCTGTGCAGGTTCCCGGGGGGCAGGCCCTGTCTCCACGTGGACTTCAGGCTCTGGGGGAGGCCAAGTTCCAAGCAGATGGCCACACTAGTGTCCCCCTGACCCCTAGAGCGTGTGACCTGTCACAAACAGAAGGGGGCTCCTATTTTTGGAGAACAGCTCCCATCTCCAGTCTTCTGCTTCTTTTCATGTTCCCTGGCTATTAGCATGAGAATGCGGCTCTTCCTGGGTTCCCAGGGCCCCCTCAGCCCAGCAGTGTCATGAGACCTGCAAGACTGGCTGGAGGCTGAGCCTGTGTTAATCCCTGCGTGAGCCAAGCTTGTCCAGGGCGAGGCCGGGGTGCCTGGCTCTTGGCCCCTGGCACAGTGTCCAGTGACAGGCTCTGTGTGGTTTCCACAGCTGCCCTTCCTCCTGGGAGGTGGGTCAGGGATCATTTCTAGGGTGCAGCTGCCGTCAGGGCCACCTGCCGGGCCGCTCCCCTCTCAGTCCCCGGCTGACCTTGCCATCCGCACCGCGGGCAGTTCTCCTGTGGACTTCGCTCAGGCTCACAGGCAGCCTTTCCCCGTGGTGCTGGGGATGGAACCCAGGGCCTTGTGCACACAAGGCGAGAGCTCTACCACGGAGCCCCAGCCCCAGCCCTGGAAGAGGCGTTTCTCAGAATGAAGTTTTTTTAAACATTTTGGTTACTAATACTTGATTATGATAATTTTAATATACTTTTATTTGCCTTAGTGTGTTTTCAAACACAGTTACTTAGGAGAAGAATGCTTGCTTTCCCGCCTGGCCCAGTTGGGCGTCCAGGCGCTGCCTTGTTCTGCCTGTGTCGGAGGGGTCCGGGTCGGGGTCGGCGGGCGCTCGGGGCGAGTCAGGCGGTGACTGCTTCCCTCCTTCCCGCCCGCAGCTGGAGTTCGGCGTGGTTCACCACTGCATGGAGGAGCGGCTGTACATGGCCCGTCGGGGCCGCGGCGCCTTCTGCAACACCCAGCGGCTGTGCGCCTCGAGGGAGACAGGTGGGCTCCGGGGAAGAAGCGCTGTGGGCCTGGGGGCTCCCAGACCTCACGTCTGGAATCCCCGGTCGGCGCCATGGTGGGGGCGGAGTCTCCTCCGAGGGCCCTCCCGTTTGTTCAGGGACCTGGGTCCATGGTGCACCAGAACCCGGGTCTGCCTGTCCATCGGTGTGGCCGATGGGCCAGGGGCTCCATGGAGTCCTGTCCGCCTTGCACTCACATTTGTCACCATTAAAGCGGGAACCCGGTTGCCAGGGCGACTTGATCTCCATGGGGACTGGGGAACGTGCTGATGTGCTTCCTCACAGGACTAAACAAAATTTTCCCCCAAGATGACTTTTTTTTCAACTTAGGTCAGAGTCAAAAATAGCTGTGTTACAGTGAACCACTGAGTGACATTGAGCACATCCACGGTGCTGTGTGCCACGTGCTGTAGCAAGTTCTAAAACCTTCCCCACTCCACAGGGACAGAAACCCTGTGCCCCTAAAGTGGCGTCCCTGCTCTGTCTCCCCAGGCCCTGCAGTCTGCTCTGTCTAGAACTTACGCTTTTTAGGTAAAGGAAGTGGTTTTATTTTCACGTGGGTAGAGTGCAGCGGTCCCTGAGGTTGGGGCACGTTTGTCACAAGACCACTGGTGGAAGTGCTGTCCCAGGAGCGCACATCCAACAGAGCCAGGCCGGATGGGGCATCCTTGAAGGGGCGCGGGGACCCCGAGTGAGCTTCGCCCCACCACTGCCCTGGAACCAGCAGGGCCGTGCGACCAGGGCCTGAAACCCCAGGCACCTCGAGCCAAACTCTCTCCTCATGGAGTTGTCAGGGCCATTGTCACAGCGACGAAAAGCTAACCTGTCTTCCTCTCAAGCGTGACATCTCCAGAAAGACAAGCAGGACACTTGGATACTCAGGGTGTCTTAACTTAGTACTACTTAACCAGAGCAGAGCTTTCAGATGGTCAAAAAATCAGACCAGTTTTTTTGTTTGCCCTAAATTCTGCTTTATTGAAAAAATACACAAAAATGCCCTACTTAAAAATCTAGTAGGTTTTTGTTGCTGTGGTAGAAATGTTAAACATAAAATTTGGCACTTCACTCATTCATTAACAAGCTATTTGATGGCATTGCTTGAACCACAGTGTCATGTAACCCTCACAGTGATAGATTTCTGAAATTTTCGTCACCTCGAGCAGGAAGTCCATTCCTACCATCCCACCTCCCATGAAATCACAGATTATTTTAAGTTAAATCTGTCTATATATTGGCATCTGACTAGGAGCTAAAATATTATGACAAATATAAGACAAAGAGAAATAAAATACAAAAATCACAAAACTTGTGGACAACTGGTCAGAGCTAACCGCCATGTAGAATATTAGAGGGGATGTAATGGATTAGGTTTTTCCTTTATCTGAGGGATATCACTTAGTAGAAGGCATTTTGTCTGTAGGTGTAAGGGAAGGTACCAGTGGCGGAGTTCGGGCACTTCGCTGTGATGTCAGGGTAACGAGAAACCTCACCAGCTCTGGCGCAGTTGCCGGCCATGCCTGAGGCCCTGCATTCAACGGCCCTGGGAGGGAAAAAGACTTTAGAAAGATACGAAGCTACAAAGCGCTTTGTCTGGGTACACGGTGGGTGTGAGGTGGGAAGTAGATGTTAGAGGGTGGTGGCAGGACAGCCTGTCACCGCTTCCTCCTTCCCCGTGGCCGAGGCCCTCTTCCGGGTCCTGCTGTGGGACAGGTGGGCAGTGGCCTGCCTCTCTCTTCCGATAGCTCCGTGTTTAGAGAGGTTTGTTTCCTAGCACAGCTGAGCAGGGGTAGAGCCTTCCCACGTGGCTTCTGTCCCACCACAAGCTCTCACCAGCGTCCCCTCCAGAGGGGCATTTGTCACAGCCTGCCACTGTGCCAACCCCTTGCCGTTGCCGGAGCCCACGGTGTACAGGGGGCTCCTCTCAGTGGAGCCTTCTGTGGTGTGGTCCCTGCGCTGGTGGCCTGGCCTGAGTCACGCGAGCCCAAGCTGCATGGTGGGAGCCGGGTGTTTCGGAAGCGTTTAAAGTCGGACCCCAGAGCTGTGCTGTAGACGAGGGCTGCCTGCCCTGGATGCGAAGATGCCCTGGGCTCAGGCCATGGAAGAGAATGCAATGCTGTGGAGCTGTTTGCTGCCCGAGCACACTTGGTGCAGCCTGGGGTGGCACGGGCACAGCGTGTGGCAGTGCAGGCTGCTTCTTGTCCCCGGAGTCCTGGCCCCTCGCTTCCGCCCTGGCAGCGCCTGCCGGCCTCTCCCGTCACGGTGCACCACGTGTGCCAAGGATCCTCAGCCCTCAGGCATCTGCACCCTCCTCGGAGGCGACCTCGCATCTGAGTCACCTGCTCCATGGGAGTTTCCGTCTCTGTGACCTCAGCAGGTGAAGAAAGTCTGCATTAAAACCTTTCCAAACGTGTCTCTTGATGATGCATTTTTCCCTCCAAATCCTCTGTTCCCAGCATGGAGTCCTTAGGGGCTTGTCCTTGTCTGTCTGTCTGTGTGTTTCTGGTACAGGGATGAATCCAGGGAGTTCATGCTGAGCTACATCTGCTCAGCCCTTTCTTCCTTTTCTTTTGAAGCCGGTTTCTCTAAGAGCCCCGGGCGGGGCTCCAACTTTGCATCCTCCTGCCTCAGCATCCTGAGTAGCTGGAGTACAGGATACCTGGCGCCATTCTGTTCTCACATGTGACAACAGTAGTGATTTTCCTAAGCACCAGACTCCAGGCTCTGTGTCCAAGGAGGGAGGGCTGAGAGCGTAGAGCAGAGGCCACGCAGCTCCACCCGCTGCCTCCCTCCTTCCTTCCAGCCTGGCAAGCAAAGGTCGAGAGGCTGGGCCTGACTCACTCTGGGACTTCCTCCTGCAGATCTCTCCAAGGCTCTGATCCTGACCGAAATTGGCTCCAAGCGTGACCCTGCCACGCTGAAGCTGCTCCTCAGCAACATGGAGCAGCTGCTGCTCGCCAAGGCCCATGGGTGCGGACTCCGGCTCTGGAGAGCCCTCGGGGATGAGGGGACCCCAGCGGGTAGGGCGAGGGGGGACACAGGCTCAGTCGAGGGCTGGGGGCGGCGGTCCCGTGTCTCCTGCTCTGCCTGGGACCCGGGCCAGGGCAGCCTTGTCTCTTGCCCTGGGCTCTGCATGGACTGTGGCCTGGTTTCTTCCTCCCCAATGTTCACGAGGCCACACACGCACACGCACACGGCCCGTGTCTGCAGCACTACAAGGGGCAGTCGCTCTGCCTTGTCCCATCCAGCCACGCCCGTGCTGAGGCTGCTGTGCTGTGGAGTCCTGTGGGCAGTGGCTCTGCACCTCACACTCGCCCGAGCCTGCCCTCTGCCGCTGCCCGCCGGCCACCTCCGCCTTCCCTCTCCCAGGGTCCGAGTCATCGGCAGCTCCACCTTGGCACTCTGCCACCTGGCCGCCGGAGCCGCCGACGCCTATTACCAGTTTGGCCTGCACTGCTGGGACCTGGCGGCAGCCACGGTCATCATCAGAGAAGCAGGTGGCATCGTGATGGACACAACAGGTCAGCCAGGGGCCTGGGACAGGAAGAGGAGCAGGTGACCCTGGCTGGGGTTCTCCAAGCGGGGCCCCAGCTCAGCCCGAATACTGGGGTGCAGGAGCAGCCCCACAGTCACGCCTCACTGCTGTGTCCCGGGGCTCCAAGGGCCCAGGAGGCCCCAGTGAGATGGGCAGAGCATGTGGCCTGTTCCCCCAGGTTTGTGTTTTTTAGTTTTGTGGTACTAGGGATTGAAGCCAGGGACTTCACACTAAGCTGCATTCCCATCCTTTTTAAAATTTTATTTTGAGACAGCATCTTGCTAAGGTGTCCAGGCCAGGCTTGAAGTTGTAATCCTCCTGCCTCAGCCTCCCAGAGTCCTGGGATTAGGGGCATGCACTCCCACACCTGGCTTCCCACCAAGCTTTGAGGTTAGGCACTTCCCCAAGATCCATGACCCAGACCTGGGTCAGCACCAGTACCCACGTGGCATCCTGCTGGGCTTTAGGAGAATGAATCCGGAAGGGGCCCTGTTCCTTCTGTCTCGGGACTCCACGTCCCGGGGACTGGGCCCCTGGGGGCGAGCGTGAGTCCCTGTTCCCTGGGCACCTGTCACCCAATGCCCAGGCATGACGGGCCCGGCCCCGTGGGCCCACTCTGTCCTGGGCTTGGCCAGAGCCTGGCACCGGTGGATCTTCTGCAGCCTAAGTGCTCCTGCCCTGCGGTCTCTCAAGGCCATGGCTGAGCTCCAGACAGGGCCCAGTATGGCCCCAAGCTGCTCCCCTTCTCTGAGCTGTGGGAAGCTGCCACCCAGTAACTGGTGTCCATCTCTGTCACCAGGTGGGCCCCTTAACCTCATGGCTCGGAGAGTGGTTGCTGCAGGCACCCAGAAGATGGCCACACTCATCGCCCAGGCCTTGCAGCCGATCAGCTGTGGACAGGATGACCAGGCGTGAGGCCAGGTGCGGCAGGAAGGCTGGCCAGCAGTGCCCCACCGGCCCAAGGCTCCCTCCGGGCTTGGGGTCCTGCCAGCCTCTGATGCCCCTCGAGCTCCTCAGGTCCCCAGCATTGCCCCAGGCCAGCCCTGCCCTAGCAGATGCACACCGCTCCCCCAGACTCGGGCCATGGCCACACCGCAGGGACACGACGTCCTTGGCCCCATCCCAACCTGGCGCTGTGCCAGAGGTTAACAGCCCTGGCTCCCCACTCCTCTGTTCACGCACGTGTCACCGCCTCCTCACGCACCCCAGGCCCGGCTGCAGATGAGAAGCTGGCTGCGGCCCACCCTGCAGGACAGGCCCCCTGAGAGCCGCCTCAGCAGTTTTCATGGTCTTGTGGCTCCCAGAGACCTGCAGACTGCTCAGAACCACACCTCCGAGGAGCAGAGCAGAGTGATGGCAGCGACTGTGCTGCTCTCTGGGTTCACTGTCTCCAGAGGTGGGGTCCCCGTGCAGGTGACCCCCGTGAGCCTCTGCTGAGAGGCTCAGGCAGAGCCAAAGCCACTGTGGACCTGCCCGCTGCCCTGGGGCCTCCCTGGCTCCCGCTGTTGCTGGCCGCCCACCCTGAGGCTCAGCAGGCCCCAGCTAGCCACAAGGGCTCCGTGCCAGACTCAGGGGCCCCCAGCACCCATGCGGGAGCAGCCGCTGCAGACGGCATGAGCAGAATAAACGCCTCGTGCCTTGCTCCACCCGCCTCGGGTGCCTTTGGCTGTGTTCGCTGTCTCAGGAGGGAATTTCTGGTTCTGGGTGAATGAGGTGGCCAGGTAACCCTGTGCACACAGGGTTCAGCAGCGTGTTTGAGGACCAGGTCACTGGGGTTGGAAGTCTGATGCCCACTGGGGCCACTCTGGCCCCCGGGAGGACAGGGATGCCCCACTGGGCTCTTACCCGTGCTGCCATCTCCCCCAGCTCACATGTGGCCTCCTGCACTGCACAGAGCCGCTGTTCCTCCAGGCGGCCCCGGGCTGGGCCATGGGAGATGGAGTGGGGCGTGGAGAGGCCATGGGCACATCCTAGCCCAGCAGGGTGTCAGGGCAGCGTACAGGGACCCTCACGCCAGGGCAGAAGTGGTGGCAGGACCTGTGGCTGCCATCTTGAGAGCCCCTCCTCTCTGGTGGCTGCAGCTGGAGCCCCGCAGGCGCTGAGGAGGGAGAGCTCTGGCCTTGGGTCTCCGCCCAATTCCTGCTTCCGGGCCTCTGGTCTCAGGCGCACAGTGGCCTTCCCACAGACAGCCTGGGCGGGGGCAGGCCTGAGGGGCTGGCACAGAGCTGGCGACACCTACGTGGCCCGCCACTGCATCCAGCACCGCGTCTCAGGGACCCTATGAGAGCAGAGCCAGCCGCTCAGCACCCAGCCTCGGGGTCCCCACGAGAACACCAAGGTCGCTCAGCTCCCAGCTCCCCCGGGCCGGGTCCTCCTGGTGAGCGAGCCCGAGCCTGTGTGCGGCAGAGGCTTCCTCTTCCGAGTCCTGTTCAACTAAAGCAGAGGATAGCGGCAAAGGAGCCGGTGCCCCTCACCCTGGCTCCGGTGCCCTGCTCAGTCACCACACCAAGTGCCTGCACTGCGGGAGGGGTGGCTGGCGGGGGACACCCCTGCCCGCAGCTCTGAGCCAAGGCCACTTCTCAACACCCACCTGGCTCCTGGGAGTGGCGGCTGGTGACAGCCTCTGCTACCAGTGGAGTCACACGAGGAGAGGCCACCGTGTGCTCGGATCCAGAGCACGGAAACCCCAGCCTCCTGCAGCCAAAGCTCATCCAGCAGTGAGCACGTGACTGGAGCACATGCGTGTGGCTCGTGACAGCCACATGCAGGGTGACCAGGGGCAATCAGGACGGGCGAGAGCCAGCAGCTCCCAACTGACATGGACACACATTGGAGCTTCGTGTCTGTGCAGTCACCCAGGTGCGGCATGAGCGTGGCCTCCTGTGGGGTGAGCAGCAGGGCTTGAGTGAGGCAGCATGAGCCGGGGGCACGCACCCACGGAAGAAAGGCTGATGTTCTCGGCCCTGGGAGATGGACCCTCAGTCCTGGGTCCTGTGAAGAGGCTGTGCAGTTTCTAAGCTTGCCGAGCCCTTCCCTGGGTGTCCCTCCCCAGTGACAGGCGGGAGAGGGCATGGTTAGGCCCTCGGTAACTAGGGCATCCAAGGCCAGATGTGGAGCAAGTGTGGCCCTCCTGTCACTGCCCTGGGAACCCAGGAGAGCACTGCCCCTCGGGCTTTCCCCACAGTGAGGAGGCCCAGGCTGCCACAGGCGTGAGGGCACTGCCCAGTCAGGCCTGGGCGGGCCCGACACGCACGGTCTTGGACCCCGCCAGACACATGGGAGGCCAGGGCTCATGAGAGCCACAAGCCACAGCTCCCCTCGGTGGCCTCGGGGTCCTGAGTGCTCATGCACAGTGCTAGCAGCTGACAGAACCCCCGGGCTGTCGGGCTCAGGGTTGTGCACACAGGTGTCTGCAGCACAGTGCACTGCGAGAGGGCGCCTCCTGCAGGCGACGGCTCCACAGACTGACCACGCCACGGAGGAGGAGCTTTGGTGAAACCCACTCACACTGCAAGGAAAAGGGAACCTGAAAGCAACACCAGAATATTATGAGAAACAAATCTATGTCGTGTTGCGCACACTTCACCTGTCAGCACTCGAGTGCAAGATTAAAACACTGACGTGGATCTGAGTCTCATTAGTTTTGGTGCTGAAAATGCCCTTCTACGAAAGTGGGCAGCCACGGAGAGGGGCAGAGTCCGTCGTGGCTTAGCTGTGACCGAAGGGAGTCCCCCAGGACAGTCCCCAGCCAGCTTCAGGATCTGTTCCCCAGGCCTGGGGCCGCACCTGCCTGGCAGAGTCACTGTGGGGAGGAGGCAGAAATGATGCTTGCTTTTGCCCGGAACTGCCGGTGGCGCCAGTCGGTGAAGGTGCTCGTGTGGACTGAGGGAAGAGCCGACCCGTGTCTGGCCACCGGGGGAAGGCGCTGGCCTTGCCAAGCTGCTGAACAGTTTGCAGCACAGTCCTGGCCAGCGTGAGGAGACTGTATTGGGGGGGTTGGGTTTTTTTGTTTTGTTTTGTTTTTTGTCCCAGGGACCGAACTCAGGACCTTGCACTTGCAAGGCAGGCTCGTGCCACTGAGCGAAATCCCCAGCCCAAAGTTGTTTTGTTTTGTTTTGTTTGCAGCCCTGGGGCTTGAATCCAGGGCCTTTGCACTGAGCTGTATCCTTAGCCCTTTATAATTCTTTATTTTGAGACAAAGTCTCCTTGAGTCACTAAATTGCCTAGGCTGGGCTTGAATTTAAAATCCTCCTGCCTCAGCCTCCCAGAGTCCTGGGATTACAGACCAGTGCCACCACACCCAGCAGCAGAGCAGATTTTTAACAACTAAACAAAGAACTGACCTCAGTGAGCTGAGAGCTCAGGAGTCTGCAGTGCGGCACCATCCACCCCAGGCTTCTAGACTGGGCAGAAGACTGTAAGGCCAGCAGAGGGCGCCACTCACAGTCGGCGAGGAGCTGCTCAGAGAACCCTGGGCCCCTGGCGGTGGCTGCTGCCCCACGTCCAGTTTCGGCCTGTGGGTGGCTCCAACCAGGGACGGTCCCAGGCCACCAGTGCCTGTGCCTGAGGCCAAAGGTCCACAGACACCCTGCAGCACCATGCAGCGCCCACGCCAGCCGCAGTGCAGCATGGGGCAGCGAGCCAGGGGACTTGGTGTGGGGACAGAGGAGACAGTGCATGCTGGCAGCTGCGTCCACCCCCAAGGGTGCCAGCCCAGCGGGGCCCCGGGACCCAGGCAGAGTGGCGGCAGCAGCGTGCTCCTATGTAGGAGACGCAGCCCCGGGTGCAGCATGGCATGGTCTGTGGCCGGTCCGGTCCGGCTGGTCTCAGCACGTCCTGTGCGAAGGTGCTCACGTCCAGCCGTCCCGGGCCCGGGCAGGGTGTCTGAGGACACAGCGGGGGCCCAGGGCAGTGTCTGCTGTTGGAAGGCCGGGGTTCCGCAGGGAGTCCCGGGCAGACCCCCAGGCTGTGCAGGGAAGGCCGTGGGCATGGAGAGGCTGCGTGTGGCTGGGCCCTGGGAGCTGAACAGCAGCCCACGCGTGGTACTGAGCACTCGTGGCCCTGGGCCTCCACAGAAACCGGCAGAGCTCGCACCCGTAGGGCAGGGTGGTTCCCCAGCAGAGTGGCCCGGTGATGTGCAGAGCCTGGGGTCCGGTACCGGGGTAAGGGATGGTGTCCCCGGATCTCCTGGTCCAGCCCCAGGTCCAGGCGCCCCACCTGGGCATTCCCGTGAGAGCAGAGTCAGGGCGGTCAGTCGGGGACACATGGTCCTCGTGGCCCTGGTGGCTCCAAGTGTGTGGTGCCACCCACCACTCGCGGGCCAGGCAGGCTCAGGCAGGAGGAGGCCCAGTGCACAGCGCTCCCGGTGCTGGGTCGCCAGGTGCCACCCTGTTGGGAGCAATGCTACATAATTCTAGGGAAAAATCATTTGAGTAGGGTTAGCATTGCCCCCAACACCACCCCCTGCCCTTCGCCCCCTCGGCATCAGCTGCAGCTGGGATGGGGTTTCCGAGCCGGGAAATCTTGGCGCCCAGTTGCAGCTGGGTGTCACCAAGCCCACCTAGGCCAGCGCCCGCCTTTCCTCCTGCCTGGGCAGAGCCACGCTGAGTCCCATCCAGGTGTTAGAAACTGAGTCACCCAAGTATGGAGGTTCACATTTGGGGCTTTTGCTTTTCCAGTTTTCTACAAGAATCAAGTTAAGCACCTACTGCTGTTAAGTCGTCTCCAGGCGTGGACCTGAAACCCCGGCTCCTTGACAGGCTGGGGCAAGAGGGTCACAGGTTGGAGCCCCGGCTGGACAACTTCGACCTGTTTCAAAATTTTTTTTAAAATGCAAGATGGCAGGTGTGGCTCAGAGGTACAGAGCACTGGCCTGGCAGGCACGAGGCCGGGTCCAACCCCCAGCACCACTGCAAAAGGAAACACGACACGTCTGGGCAGCCCCGTGGAATGGGGCTTCTCACCCTGTGAGCGGGCGCAACAGCCTCCCTCTCTGCGTGATGAGCTGCTCCTGCCTCCCAGCGGCAGGGTCAGATGCCGGCCCACTGCGTGCCTCAGGGTTCAGGGCCCCGGCGGTGGCCTGAACCCACAAAGCGGGTTGGAGGCCATGGTGAGTGAGGGCAGCCCAGGCTCCGGGAGGGACCAGTGAGGGTGTGGGGTGGGGCTCCGTCCCATGTCCCCCACAGCAGGAGCTCAGCTCACCCCGGCTCCAGGGCTCCCAGGCAGACAGGTCATGTGTTCCAGGCTGCTGTCCCTTCCTCAGACCACTTCAGTGTCCCCTCAGGAAGGGCCACCGCCCTAGAGGAGGGGACCCCGGACAGGGCCTTCCTAAGGACCCAAGAGCCACTGGCCACACTGGCCGCCCCAACCGTGCCCTGCCGGCGCTCAGCAACCTTCGGGCTGAGGGAGGACACCGGGCACCCCTGCCCCAGCACTGCCCTTGCCTGGCCCGGTCCGGGGCCTTGTCCTGTCCGCACCTCCCAGTCCTAGCCTCCAGGTGGCAGGGCAGTACGCTGTGTCACCCCCACCCCAAACAAAGGATTAACAGGAGCAGTCGCTACAATTTTAATTAACCTCTGTGTGCACAAGAGCTCACAGAAAAACAAATGGAAGGAAGCCCACCTAAAGCCCCTTCATGTGGCAGCAGAGCTGCTAAACACCCTCTCGGGTGTGCCAGAAAGGAGCCTTCCTGGGCCTGCAGGAGGGGGTGGCAGGGGAGAGGGGCTGACTGCTCCCGAGGCCCCAAGGGCAGAAAAGCCTGCACCCTGGGCGGGCAGAGAGTAGGGGCAGAGGCAGCGACCCCTGCTCAGGGGCGGGGCGGGGCACGGGCGTGCAGAGAGGGGTCACAGCCGCAGCGGCCTGGAGAGCTGTGAGCCCTGGACCAGAGCCACAGCCTCACCTGCCTCAGAGCACCATAGAAAGCACGGCTGGGCCAGGCACGGTGGCACACACCCATAATCCCAGCACTCTGGGAGGCTGAGGCAGGAGGATCAGAAGTTCCAGCCCCCCCTGGGCAATTTACTGATTTAGTGAAAGTCCATCTCAAAATTTTAAAAGGAGGGCCGGGGATTTAGCTCAGTGGCACTGCGAAAGCCTGCCAAGTGCAAGGTCCTGCGTTCAATTCCCAGTACCCCCCACAAAAATTTTAAAAGGCTGGAGTTGTGGCTCAGTGCAGTGGCCTCGGACCCCACTTTGTGGGTCCCCAAGAGCATCCAATCCCCCATACAGCCAAAAAAGAGCACAAGCTGTCGCCCCCAGGAGGCTGCATAACACCCCACCCCCGCCTTACCAGCCCACGCCCTGGCTATGGCTGGGGATCGTGCACCGAGCGGAGCGAGAGCGGACCTGGCGTCTGTCAGCGGAGGGGCGTGGCTCCCCCTGGCGGCCGGCTCAGGTACCCGCCAGCCCCAACCCTCCTCCCAGGCAGGCGCAGGCTCCCGCCCACCCCGGGCTGCAGAGGGGCCCAGGCCCTGCCCTCGATGGGGATTAGCCTGGCTTTCACCTGAGCCGCACCCTGGCCCTTTTTACCTGCGGACAAGATCTCTAAATTGCCAGGCTGGGCCTGAGCTTGTGATCTCCTGCCTCAGCCTCCCAGAGCGCTGGGACTGCAGGTGTGTCCCACCACACCCGACTCCACCACAAGGCTTTAGGATGGACCATGCCCTATGTGGGCGACTCACTGGTCCTGCTGCAGAGGAGTCTGCTGTGCAAACGGCTGAGTCCATCTGTCCCCTGAGTAGCCACGGGCTGCTCGCTCCAGGCTCTGTGATGAGGGACTACGAAGGCCCCTCTGTGAACCAGTTTCACTTCCTCCTGGCTAAAGGCTCGAAAGAAGCGGAGCTTCTGGGTAATCTGAGGGAGGTGCGTTGAACCCCGCCAAACACGCCGAGAGTGCACTACGGCGAGGCCATTTTGCACCCTCCAGCGCCTCCGCAGAGCCAGCACGGTGCATGGAAAGCTCACCTTTTAATGCACGTTCTGCAGATTTTGACAAAGGCGTGCAGCTGTGTAACTCACCCGAGCCCCGGCCTCCTGGGCAGTCACCCCCGCTCCTGGCCCACGGATGGATCTGAGCTGTCCGTTGTCTTCTGGAGGCTGCCGTGGGGGGGGGGGGGCTGTGTTCCAGAGTCCAGCAGAGTCTGTGCACTCCTGTGCCTTAGAATGTTACTAAGACCTCGGGGTGTGGCCCCCACACTGCAGCAGGAAGCAGAGCCTGCTTTGCCCCTGCCCACTTGGGAGAGGCCTGGAGCTGGCTGCAAAACATGGCCTTCTTTGGAGAGAAAAATTCAAACTGAAGTCAGCAGAAAGAATATCACCTTTGTTCCGCTGCTGGAAGGAAGACAGATGTCGCGCCCAGCCATGGCGCAGCCCAAACAAGGGCAGTGACCTGGCCTTGAGTGGCACAAAGGGCCCCTGAGGGCCCCTGGCGAAGGGGACCCCCAAGGGGGCAAAATGTTAGGGCTGGGCGAGCCTTTGGGGAAAGAAGACCGCAGCCTTCGTTAGACTCGCAAGTGATCTTGAACCCCAACAAGTTGGGAACCACTGATGGGTTGGATGTGGGGGGGACCATTAAACATCACAGGGCCAGTAACGGTTTGATACTGTTGCAGTCTTGTAGTGACTGTGTAAGGGGGTCTCCCACTGAGCTGCACCCACCCCAATACTAAGTGCTTAATGCAAGCTATGCAAGAAGTGAAGACAATCTTAACGTCCACCTTAGAATTAAAAGACACCTCTGCCCCTAATCCAGCTGGAGAAGCAACTTCGAGACCAGTCGCCTGACGATCAGTTCTTGCAGTCCGCTGAGATGTCGCCCCACCTCACACTGCTTGCTGGGGCAACCACGAGGACCCCACTAGCAGCTCCTGCTGGGAACCTGCACCCCATCCCTCAGGCCTGCCAGGCTGTCCCTTCTCGAGCAGGGCCTTGTGGCCTCTGCTCTCTGCGCCCGAGCTCCTCTGTGCTGGGACCGAGGCTGGCCCTGGCACCAGAGAGACTGCAGTGGGCGGCTCCCTGCACAAAACTCCCACGCCCTGGGCTCTCCAGCTCAGCCACAGCCCCGTGCCCACCTCCCTTGTTAACAGCTGGGGAAAGACACGTTCCTGACCACAGCGGAGCTCCTGCACTCTGAAAATTCACTTCCCCGAGTCTGCCCTGATGCACATGCCTCTCTGGGGAACTAGCCTGCTCCATCAACCCTGGCACACGCGCCTGGGGATTCCTCAGCTCCACATGGCTGTGGCTACCTGTGCCATCGCCTCAGTGACCTCAGGTGGCTCTCCTGTGTCCCCCAGCAGACCGTAAATAGGTAAAGCCATCAGCATATGAGCAGCTTTACAGCTGGACTCTGGCTTGCAGGAGGTCCTGACTTCGACATTAATTAAACCGGGTACTTCCCAGCCAGAATAAAGGCACTTTTGACCCGACCCATAACTCTCCCCTTTCTGACCCAAGTTGTGAGGGTACAGCTGGTCTTGCTGCGGCCCAGGACCGCACCTTGTCGGTAGGTAAGTCCCCAATAAACTTGTCATTGTGCACTCCGGGAGCTGCCTGCCTCTGCCTCAGTGACTCCTCATCCGCTAGGATAGTGTTGTTCCAGGACGTGTGCCCTCGTCCCTCTGTTCCAAGAGAAAGCAGCACACGTCCAAAAAAAGCCACACAGAAGTGTCCACAGGGCCTTGACTCACTCGCCCTGGCCAGCCACAGCTGTAGAGCGGAAACTGGTATTCGATGGTGTTCTACTTGGCAACAAAAATGAGCAAGCCAGCAATATATGCGACAGTGTGGCGGGACTTCAGAGACTAAAGCCCGGCAGAAGGGAGCATTCAGTGGGACTGGACGCAAATGAAGTAAAAGAATCTGCAGAGTGACCTGGTGGGACAGACCCTGCAGTGTACGGCGCAAGGGATGGGGGTGCCAGAGGGACAGGAGCAGCCGCTGGGCGTTGCGCTCGTGCTGCGTCTTGACCACTCCATGGCTGCACACTGAACACCCACGTGCTGTACCTTGGGCGCATTTGTGAGTTAAACTTGTCGACCTGATTGGCTTGGGAGCTGCCCAGGAGAGCACTAGTGCATGCTCCTGGGTTGTCCAGTGGTCATGTAGGCGTGGCCTCGGGCCCCTTCCTCTGGTGCTGTTTCTGCCCTCTGCTTCCCAGCCACCATGAACTAAGCAGCTTTGCTCCTCGACCCCCTTCTGCCATGATGTTCTGCCTTGGAGCAGCCAACCATGCACTGGATTTCCTGAAACCATGAGCCAAGTCAGACCTCTCCTCCTTTAAGTTGTGGGTGTCCTCTGCCTCGGCAAAGGGACACTGACCAACACAACATTATTCTGCAACTCAGTTGTTTTTCACTAAAAAAAAAATCCACGAGTGCCTCCTGTGAGTGACACCAAGAGGAAGCTAAAGGCATGGAGCCAGGGTGCTGGAGCACAGGGCTGGCAGAGGACAGGGGACGGATCCGGTGGAAAATAGCTCGGTGGGTGTTTGTGCAGTGAGCTGACACTCATCTCCAACTTGGTGTGAAGAACCACACAGCGTGCTCTTCACACAGCAAGCTCTCCCTGGCCGTGCGGGAAGCAGGGTGTGCAGTGCCCACAGTGCTGCTTCGATGCCCTGGCTATGTGCCCTGGGCATCTGCGTTCATCCTGCCGCGGCTCCAGGCCCCCATCAGCGTGAGAGCAAGACTCCAGTGTCCCAGCCTGACAGCCACCAGGTCACTCCCCCGCTTCCCCTCACGGCAGCCCAGTGAGAACTGGTCATGAAAACACATCATCAGGGATGATGAGAAATAAAGAACAGAAAGTTTGTTTTAGAAAGAAAAGAAAGAAAGCTTTCCCAGAGTCATAGAATTTGAAGGTAGCCAGTAGTCCAGACTTAGAAGTCAGTTTTTATCCAGTCTGTTACCAAAACTAAACGAAACAAATAGAAAGGACCGGACAGCTACTGGAGGTTCCCCTGAGCAAGAAGCATCGGAATTCTCCACAACACACCCACACCCGAGAGCACTTCTGCCCACGCCGGCGGTGCTGGCCGGGAGCCAGGCGTCCCTCTCAGGGACAGAGCGCTCGGGACAGGCCAGCTGTCCCCTCAGGGATCCGAGCTTGGCAGCGCCAAGGGGGAGCCTGTGCCTCCCGGGAGGAGTGAGCCCACCACGCTCCACTCCCGCTCCCTGGGCCCTCCCAGAGCACAGCAGCCTCGGGCTCCTGGGGCTGCAGCCAGGCCGGGGAGCGTGGGGCGCCTGCCCTCTCCCCTTAGCAGGCTCCACAGGGCCTCCAGTCTCCGCTCCAGCCTCGCGCCTGGCCTGGCCTGGCCTGGCCGGTCTCTGTAGGGAGGGCACTGCCACACCAGTCACCCAGGGTCTTCTTGGTGCTTCCCCCACCCACACTGGGGCCCAGCCTTGGCCCTCCCACACACTGTGTCCCCACCATGTTCCTTCTTTCCTGCCATCTTTTCCTGGGGCCACCTACAGGCCCCCTGGAGCAGGCCCAGCTCTCACCCATCTCTGTTGGCTCCTGCGTGGCCACCCCACCCCTGCTGTTCCAAGCAGGGTTGCCTCCGGCCCAGGGCCACCTCCCTGCCTCAGCACCCACAGACTCTTGGGACGCCTTGGGCTCTTCCTTGTTCCTCGAGCAATCTGCAGTCCCGTGTTAACCACTTCCTCAGCCCTCCCGGCCCCAGGAACCAGAGTGGGACAACGCTACCTGCACACCTGGTGACCGGGGCGGACAGTCCTCAGCGACTGACCTTCACTACTCGAACAAGGTCAAATGCACTCTCCCCCCAGGCGGTGGGGCATTACTGCAGGCTGATCCTCGGACACACCGCTGGGATGTCCTTCTTAACTGCTCTGCTATCAGCTAATAAATACCCTGCTATCAGAAATGCGCCTCTGAGGGTTTAACGTGAAAGGGTGCAAATCCAAAGTGTGTTTTTGTGTTTTTGAGACAGAGACTTGCTATGCAGCCCAGGGTGGCCTCGAACTCAGCTGATCCTCCTGCCTCTGCCTCCTTAGTGCTGGGATCACAGGTGTGCGCCACCACGCCAGGCATTATCAAAGTGTTAGCAGCAGCCAAATCCTGGGGCTGGGAGTAAGGGTGCTCATTGTTCTTTCTGTCTCTTTCTTTGAATTTTTTTTTACAGTAAGACCGGTTTTCAGCTGAGTTGAACTCACCCAGGAGCTTCAGCGCCACCGCCAGGGGCGGCTCAGAGCCCTGGCCCGGCCTTCCCAGGACGCAGCTGGGGGCGGGGCGGGGCGGGGCGGGACCGAGCGAGTTTAAAGGGCCGTGCGGGACCGCGGAGCTGCGTCGGCGGAGCGCGCCATGGAGACTGCTCGGGACTACGCGGGAGCCCTGCTCAGGCGAGTGCTGTCCCGGTCCGGGCGCGGGGCCGGTGACGCCCCTGGTGGGCGGGTGTGGGGGCAGAGCCGGGCCCGCTTCAGCCCGGGACCACCTGGCTCCTCCAAACCCGGCTCCACGGCAGCGCGGGAGATGGGGAGCGGACTCTCTGGCCTTCCCCGAGGTCTCCGCTGCGGTCCGACCCGGCGGGCGGGACGGAGAATCCGTGATCCGGAGTGAGACCAGGTCAGACCCTCAGCTGCCAGCAGACAGGTGGCCCTCGGGGTGGCCCGCGCCGTCACCTGGCAGGTGGAGAAGTGAGAAGCGCCTCCCTCTTCCGTTCGCTCCGTACGGTCGCCCTTAGGTGAGCATCAGGCGTCCTCACTGTGTGCAGGTGGCACAGTTGTCACCGCAGGGAGTCGCACGACAGGAATGGAAGCAAGGGTCACCTCTGGCGCAAGGAGCAGCTGACCTCTCGCCAGGTTTCTTCATCCCGCCTGACGGCCGGTGCCTTAGCCAAGCGTCCCCTCTCCCTCCCTCCCTCCCTGCCGAGCTTGGGACCTGACGGGCTGCTCGCCAGGCGGGGTCCACGGCGCTCCTGCCCTCAGCCTGGCGGCCCGCGCCCTGGGCTCTTTGGGGCGTTCCCTCCTCTCTCCCAGCTCGGCCCCCAGCCCACTCTGTCCAAAACTGTCCCTCGGGGTGCCCCAACTCCCATTCTCCAGGCTCCTCGGGAGCTGAGGAGAAGGCAGGCTGAGCTCCAGAGGGCGGGAGAGCCCCGCCTGGCACTGGCCACTCCCATGGTCTACCCAAAGCCAGGGTCGGGCCAGGTCTCCTCTGGGGCAGGTGTGACGTGGAGTGGTGGGAGTACCCGGCTGAGGAAATGCACCGAATCACAGCTCGAACACTGATTGCCAGAGACGCAAGCTCAGCCAGGCCCAGGAGTCCCCTCGTTGTTGGGACAGCTGTGGCCACAGATCTCTGAGAATCTGCCTGCTTCCGGCTGAGCTGCTGCAGTTCTTGGGAATCCACCAGGAAAAACACAGCTTGGCCCTGGGGTAGAGGGAAGGCTGTTCTTCCTCACGCTCTAAAATCCTGTCCCGGCTTCGAGCCACAGGCAGAGCACCAGCATTTGTTAATGATAGTCTCGCTGGATTTCCGTCTCCTCTGGGTGATGCTTAAACTGCCTGGTGTAGCACACTGCAACTGCCATTTGGTGGTAAATATCTGCATTTTGCCGGAGAAATAACTAGTATACACATGTTTAAAAAAAAATTAGAGACTTGTAGTTAGGCATGGTGGCACACTCTGGGAGGCTGAAGCAGGAAGATCGTAAATTTGAATCCAGCTGGGGAAGCTTAGTGACTTAACCAAACTCTATCTCAGAGTTTTACAAAATTTTAAAAGGACTAGGGATATAGCTCAGTGAAGGCCCTGGATTCAGTCCTAAGTACCAAAACCAGCAAGATCCTGGTGGGGCAGGGGAGTAACTTAGTGCTAGAGCACTTGCCCAGCATACACAAGGCTCCCTGGGGTCCGCCCTGCACCTCAGAGAGCAGCAGCAGGTGAGGTACCTGTGAGCGATGACAGAGTCAAGCAGCTGTTCCCTCGGAGATCAGTGCTAACTGCTGGGGGCCTCGGTCCAGGTCCCAGAAGGCCCCAGGGTCCCAGCAGAGCTGGGGTGGGGCTGTCCTCGAAGGTGGTTATCGTCGTGGACAAAGCCCCTCTGTCCTCCTGTCACTCCTTCGAGACCTGAAGTAGTTATAAAGTAGTTACAAGTTATATTTCCCAGAAGAGCTGCTTTTGTAATGATTTAGAACCCTTCCCGGCTGGAGGGTAGAGTGTGGCTTCCCCTGCACCAGGCCCGGGTTCCATCCCCACCCCACAGAAAGAAAACGGAAACAAGAAGCAGAACGCCTTGCCCTGTCCCGAGTACCCAGGGCTTGGCTTACGTGCATGTTGATGGCCAGGCAGGAGCCCGCCGGGAGCAGGCTGAGGTGCCAGGCGTGTCCCACCGCAGTGCACCTCCCAACGGACAGTTCCTGGCTCACGGCAGCGCCTTAGCGCTGGTGTCACTCTGGTGCCGGCTGAGGCTGACGCGGGCCTGCTTGTTGTCCCTCCCATCTTGTGATGAGGGGATGCAGCCCCCAGCCATCGTCACACTTTGCACACCTGCTTCATGAGCAGTGACACCAACATACACTCGACCTCTATGGCTGCGAGCTTCATGCTGCGGAGTCCGCCGACTGCAGGCTGGAGACGCTGGGGAAAGCGAGTCTGTGCCGAACACGCACGGACATTTCTGCCGTCTTGTTCCCTGACATCCCCTAGCACAGTTGTGTTCCAGGTCAGATGCAGTCTGGGGAAGCACGCAGGAGGCCGCCTAGACACTGCAGTGTTCTACACAGGGACATGAGCGTCCTGGGCTGAGGGACCTGGAGTCCTGGTGGCCGACCCTGAGGACCCTGAGGAGCCCTGGGATTGCCGTGCGCCAAGACCTTGTTCCCGGGCCTGGCCTCCCGCAGCTCCCCAGAGGCGCCTGGGTGGCCTGCAGGGAAAGCCTCCCCGTGGTGCAGGTGCGGGCTGTGCTGGCTCGCTGCCTGCCCAGTCACACAGTGTCGGCAGCTGCATCCTCGAAACGCAGACTGCGCTGCCTGCCCCACCCTCTGGGAGACGTGGCCTTGTGCAGGTTTGGGGAACTCGGTGAAGTCTGGCCTGTGATGCTGGCTGGGTTAGGGTTAGAAACAACCTATTTCCTGAGGCAGCTGTTTCCTTGTTGCTTTTCCTTTTAGACAGTTATCTCCCTTCCTGCTTGTGGGACGGTCTGTGTTCACTTTCCCAGGAATTGGGGAGTGGCTGTTCCCACAGGTGGTGGAGCAAACCACAGAACTCTGAGGCTTCTCGGGTTCCCGGCCTTTGTTTCTGACTGTGCTGGGCTTGAACCCAGGGACTTCGCTCGAGCTAAGAATGAGCTGAGCCCAAGCTACATCCTCAGCCCCTCGGTGTGCTTATGTAACTTTGCCAAATTCGGAGGGGCAACAGCTCGTTTTAGGAATCCTGCTCTTGGCCAGGAATATAAATTACAGTCTTCTGGGCAACTGGAGCGGGCTGGATGATGGAGCCTCGTCTGTTAGCCCTCGGCCCCCGGTCAGTGAGCACGGCTCACGCAGCGGTCGAGTGTGTTTGGTCCTTGCGGCTCTGCCTGCCACAGTCCTGCTTGCATCCCTTGTCACCTTGAAGCGCTGGTGCTGGCCCTGGTGAGAGCAGCTGGTTGGGCCTCAGGTCTGCAGCTTATGTGAGTCCCTCAGGCCTCTGATCCAGCGAGAGCTCCCGATCAGGGCGGGGCCTTCTCACTGTGCTCCTTGGGGCCTGTGAGGCAGTGGCTGAGAGGCGCAGCCCTCGGGGTCTCGGGGCCCCAGGAGAGGACGGAGGGAGCTCTGGGTTGCTCACCTGCAGGTGCCTGCGCCCCGTGCCCGGAAGGCTGCGCTCCCCCTCCAGCGGGAGACCCCCACCCCGACGGATGGAGCTGTACCCTTGACCCGCGGGCCGCTCTGACCCTGGGCCGGGACTCTGTTCTCCTGGGGCTACAGTTTTGTCCCGAGTGATCCCACTCCACTGGGCACTGGGGGAGAGGGAGGCGCTCAGGTGGCCCAGCCTCAAACAGGGGCGCAGCCGAGACTTCCTGCTGGGGCAAGGCCGCTGCAGGAGGAGTCCAGGGCCGCTCTGCGGCTCACACCTGTGTGGCCATGGCAGGTAAGAGAACAGGTGCTGCGACTGCTCCCCTCACCAGCCGGCCACTGTCACCTCATCAGGGAGATGACCCTGTGCGTCACTAGGAGCCGCACTGACACGCACAGGCGTGCGGACAGCGTGTCCTTCCCTCCCTGGGGGCTCTGCCAGCTGAGCTGCCTGCTGTGGGGAGGTGGGAAACAAATCCAGGGCTCTTGTGGGCAGCATCAGGTGCCAGCCTGGTGCCCAGGGATGGGAGCGCGTGACTCCCGTGTTCGCTCAGTGGCGTGAGAATGTCTCCTTTGTCGCGTTGTGTAACCGGAACCTGGTGTAACTGCTCCGATTGGGACCAAGGTTCAGAAGCTGGCGCCAGGCCCGGCTCTGTAGCCCGGCCCTGTGGTCTCTGCTCAGGGTGCCAGGCCACTGTGACGGCTGGTGTAGGCGGGAGCCCCAGGCCCAGCTCATCCCCCTTGGCACTGCCTCCTGGGGACAAGGTGGTGGTGACTTTCTCCACCTGCAGGGAGGCATTGGGGTGAGGGCAGAGGCGGAGAAGCAGGGCAAAGGCCCCCTGTGCCGGGTCGCCTCAGCCTCTTGCCTGCCCTCTCAGGTGGACGACGGGATTTAAGGAACCCACACTGTCCTGATGAGATTATTTGAAATACCATTCTCAGTAAGTGATTTAAAATGTGATGTATAAACCCAAATTAAAGTAATGTGTATCTTTAAAAAACAACAAAAAAAGAACCCGCACTGAGCCACGGCAGGGTCGGGCGAGGGTGTGCCAGACACAGACTGCAGCCCAAATTCTCGCCAGCGTTCCGAGTCTGACCCAGACCGCCGCCTGTTGGCAAGGCCGGCATAGGGCCAGGCCTGCCCTGTCCCACAGGCCCTCCCGAGATCTCGCGGGGTGCACAGCGCCACCTCGTCCGGCTTCAGTCAGACCACTGTGTTCAAGACTCAGCCCAGCCCCGAGCCAGGAAGCCAGGATTACAGGAGCCCAACAAAGATGCCTCTGCCGGGGCAGCGCCCGTCCTGCCGGCCAAGGAGCAGAGCCGGGTGACAGCGTGCACGTGCTTGCAAGACCCTGGTGACAGGCACAGCAGTCTCAGGGCCTCCTGAGGGCGCCATCTGCAGACGGGGACCCCGACCATTCTGCCCGCTCCCGCGTCTGGAACTCAGCCTGGCCTCGCCCCTCTGCTCCTCGGCAAGGATGTCCCCACGCCGGCCACTGCCTGGGCCTGAGAGCAGGGCCAGCAGCCTGGCGTGGGCGCTCCGGGGTCTCTGGCCGCAGCGGGCTGGGACACCGCTGCTCTGTGTGTGCACAGTCTGGAATCCAGTTCTCTGGGTTCTCATCAGCTGATTCCTATTTATTTCCCCATTGGACTACTTTTTTATAGTTGCTAAGTAACTAAAATTTAGTGGTCAAGGGTTGGAGTTTTCCTCAGAAAATTGCTTTCTTGCTGCAGTTGTTTCCTCTCTCTCTGTCTCTCTCTCTCCCTCTCCCTCTCTCTCTCTGTCTCTTTCTCTGTGTCTCTCTCTCTCTGTCTCTCTCTCTCTCTC